ATGATGGCGTTCTCTGCGACAAGACAAGTACCAGATCGCCTCAAATCGAAGATCTATAGGACCGTCGTTCGACCAGTCGCGATATATGGCGCTGAATGTTGGCCTACGACCAGAGAAGTTGAAGCGCGCCTAGGAGTCATGGAGATGAAAATGTTGCGATGGACCGCCGGTGTCACGCGTATGGATCGCATACGCAATGACGACATAAGGAAGAGATTCGGTATTGCTCCTGTGGCCGAGAAAATGCGCGAAGCTCGCCTTCGATGGTACGGTCATGTTCTTCGCGCGAATTGTGACACTGTCCGTAAGATTGGTCTTGAGCTCGAAGTTCCCGGAAAGCGGCCTAGAGGACGCCCCAAGCAGCGCTGGTCAGACACGTTGCATGCGGACTTGAAGGTGGTTGGCACCCATCCCGATCAAGCATTTAATCGGGAGAAGTGGCGTGACAAAATAAGGCAAGCGGACCCTGCTGCAGTGCGGGACAAACGCTGAAGAAGGAGTGAGGGAGCAGACTAGTTGCGCCTATGGCGCTGCCGATGAAGTGGAGGAAGGTGGGCGGACACATCAAGAGCGACAAACCTTTTGACTTGCTCACCAAACACTTTTAAATGAAGAAAGTGCGGAAGTGCGGCTGAAGTTCTGCCCTCTTTGTCTACCTTTCGAATCAGGGTGCGTCTTGTCGTTCGGGAAGTTTTCTGGAAAACATGAACCCCCTCCCAACTCCAGTCGCATAACACTGCGGTTGAAGGGGGTATATCGCATCAGCAAAACGGGGAAAACTGCAAAAATGCGAACAACCGGAAGAGGCGCGACAAACTTCTCTTAAAGGCAGAAAAGGCAAATATGACCACCCCTCTGTCTCCCAACGACGAGCAACTACGACCTCCACCCTTTTTGATGAAGTGAAACAGGTAAAATAAACTACAAAAAAAGCTTCCAGACCGAGTACGACCTACCCCCCCTCTCCTCCTGCGTCCAGGAACCAAATAGGACCCCCCCCCTGCTGGAGATTTTCCAACGTAGGACGTGCCCTGTTTCAAATAATCGCCAAATGTGACTTCAAAGTGGAACAACGGGCTGAGCTCGATGATCTCACAAGCCTTCAGACGGCGCTATTTGCCTTGAGGGGAGGGGCGGGCCACCCTTTCCTCAGAGCAATTACCTAGCCAACCCAGCTACATCATACCTGCTCGTCTGTTCCATGTCATTGATGCAACCGGAAATAATCTAATATGGCTAGCTTTAGTCAGTCCCTGAACATATCACCCACACACTGCCTCTTCCCACCAAGCAGCATGACGTGGCTCTACCGCATGACGTGTCCAACGCTCAGTGGAAAGTGGCTCATCTTGGGGCAGACAGTAATCTACAGGCTACTACTGCCTTCTGAGCAGTACTTTCCCTCTTAACAAAACCCGTCGTCAACATGTCTCGTTCCCTTGACGATAAGTGAAAAAGACTCAGACAAATATGTCATAAATTTTATTTGCATATGCTGCAACGATCACGATATGGCGATTCAGTTATTATTCACACATGAGACATGAGCTCGAGCTCACGAACAGCATTCATAGCGCACAATTAAAGCTGTAGAACAATGTTTCCAGTTATTGATCTCTCGAACTGTTGCGTATACGTCAGCGAGAAGTCCAAGTCCACCTGGAATAAGTAAATCATTGAAAGAGTCTCAGTGCCGCATTTTATCGAAAAGATGTAAAAATATTGTAGAGCTCCTCTTAAGTTTATTAGTATATTTTCGAAAAGCTTGGAGTCATTTTACGTCTCTAGCACCTCGTGAATTTCATCCAGTAATAATACGCACAGCATCAGATACACGGTGGCTACCGGTGTCAACGGCGACACACCGGCCAAGTCGATTGGACCTTTGTACTAGAGACGTACTGAGGCTTTCTGAACAGGGAAGATTCAGGTTAACAAGTTCATATAAATGGTAGCTACACGGATAAAACACTTCCGGGAGTCTATAAAGACGGAGCTTTTGCAATGGTACACGCGAAGTGGACACAGGCGACAGCTACTAGGTACGCTTTGCCAATACATTCAGCTTTCTCAAAGAGACGACGCACTGGGGTTCTCCGGATTGCCATGTTCACGGGACACAGCATGGATGGAAGATTACCACTAGTAGGTTGCACTCGGTCGCGGGGTGGTATTTGGTACGTGGGTTCTGAGCGTTTAAGGAAATCCCCCGAGCCGCGATAGAAATTCGCGGTTACTTCGCCAGGCATTCCACGTTTTATGTGCGCTATATGAGCATTTCGTTCACGACTAGTTCTTTGAAAAAAACTGGCAAAATTCTCGAAAAATTGGAACTCCAGTAATTTGAACATTTCCGGTGGGATGAAGGGCTCGTACCGCAAGAGAAAATTAGGGGGTTCGTGCTGACGTCGCCATTTCACACATCACGATGATGTACCGTGGTGATCCATGCGACCGATTCGGCGTTTGACGCAGCGCGGTTGGAAGCGTCCTAACAATGATAGTATCCTGCAATCCGGCTACAATTGAAAAATCTGCTCTGGGTGCGCGTCAGCAAATGTCTAGGGGACTTGTGACCTATTATTAACATGCGGATTTGGCAAGCGGGCGTGTACGCAAATTAAGGGTGGTCAACCCCAAATCACGGCACCGCGGATGTCGAGTTTTGAGACAAAAGTGAAAACCTCTACGGTTTGTGGAGTATTCTGCTCTCGCCAAGGAGGGAGTGAGCTTCTGAGTGAACGTCGGGATTTGCACCTTCTGCGGAGGAGTTTGCCCTGGTGATAGGTGGCAATAGTGTAACAACCTTGTTGGCTGTGCTCTCATGCTCAATCGAAGATGCCGAAGTGTTTCTACATTAGCATTAATGACTGCTACAATGAAACTGCGAGTTGTGGGACTGGGTTGAGGAACGCAACTGAAAGCTACTTTTCATTCGTTAATCAACTAAAAGGTAAAGAAAATATATGAAAAACTAACCTATACATCATTATTAGAATATTTTGTTTATTTAGCACCGTTTTCGGAGGCACGTTGGCTGAAATGAAGTAATTTCAGACATCAACCACTTCAATCATTTTCTCGTTTGTATGCTCTCTCATGCAGGGTCTACTCCCGAAGCTACAGAAGGCGTGGCGAAAAGAAAGCAAGAACAGTTGTGAGCGTAGGCGACGATTAGGCAAATTTGCGTGGGGCGGTGACCGCACAAGAGAGGCGCGGCGCGCAGCAGGAAAACGACCCCTCCGTCGCGCTTAAATCGGCACCTAACCACAAATCCAGGCCGATGGCCGACGAACAAACTAAAAATAAGTAGGCGGACACCCCCGTGCCGATTTCTGGGATGTGGAGTGGTATCGCAAACGCTACAAACTAACAGAATAACTCATATTGAGTATATGAAAAGAGATCAATCATTCACCTATTTGCACTGTTCTCGGATCGAATGAGATCTTCTCCGGTAGTACCGAGAGCAATTCACTCTGAAAAATGATCGTGAGGTAAGAAAGCAAAAAAATAAATAGAAATAAAAAGAAATCAGAAAAATTTAACAGAGAAGGCAGCATCATGAATGAGTAGAATCTAATTTTTAACGAAGCTTGACTGATTTTAAGCATTTAGTTTGTCATCCTTCATAATCGCAGTCAGACATACACATTGTTTGGTGCTAAACAAATAAATAAGATATAGTCAGGAGCGATGTCAAAAGGACGGGCGAAATGAGCCCGCCTTCGGTTACCCTGCTCAACCAACGGTGACCCTTGAGGGGAGGTCTTGGTACGACCCTCCTCCCCAGCCGAAGAGTACGACTTCCCCGCCCTGCCGCTATGTGTTTCGACGCAATGAACTGTACCAGTGGCTGGAGACACGCATGAGGCGATCGCGCCGTTTGCTCCAGAAGCCGTCTGACTGATAATATCGAGCTGTATGTATCGTTGGGGTTAACTACCGGCACGGTATGAGGTCTCGCACTTCCATTTAATAGCGTTATGTTTTTTCAGCGGACGATCTTCTATGACGATTTGTCTCTCACTGAATTTATATGGCAGTCAGGTTTCAAAGATGAAGCTCAATGCAATGAAAAACAATCGGTGGCTTTTGACACTGTCAAAAAGCGGTTCAGAGCTAGCGAATCTTGCTCGCTACACATTTGTCCAGAGCGAATGCCTTCTGTCTGAAGGATTATATGTGGCTACCAGCAATCTTCAGATGGTTAAGGAAAAAATGATGGTTTTTGGGTTATTCAGTCATTCAGCCAGAGCGATCACCTACTGGATTCACGGAATGTCAAAAGGAGCGCTTGAGGACCCTAATGGGCGATGGTCAGCTTCTTGCCGATGAAAGCTCTGAACGAATGGTATGAAGTTCATCGTGTCCCTCGAGCAGAGAGAGTCCATTGGGCAACTCTTGCACGTTGCAGGGACGAATGGAGACGTTACTGGCGCCCGCTCGAGGAACTCGATGATCAACGGGACAAGGTGATGGGTGACAGGTGATTCACTCATTCTTATCTCATCGGAAACTTGGGGCACACATAGTCCAGCAGTAGGTTTGAAACAAAATTTGTTTCGTGAGGTAACTTGATTCCAGCTATACACAAAATACATCCGTTCGATGACGAATGTGCTAAAGCGAGCCTGCGATAGCGCCACTGAGAATTGGGCGCTGAGTGGCTGATTAGTGCACCACCGGGTTTCCACCGGGCGTTTCTCGCTAAGCTGATGTGATATCCGTTATAGAAGGTCAGAATACTTCTGGAAGGCCTTCAACAAATTTTGGTGTTGCAAAGTGTTTTAACGCCAGTGCCAGACGATTTTGAGCCATGCGACATGGACTCCGAGATGTGGGTCAGAGGGGGGTTTGATCACACCAAAAAAGGGAAAAGTGTGGACAATTTCTCCCAGCTTGATATATTGGACTGAGGAAATATCAGCGCGCGTACTCCTTGTTTCACTTTTTCTCAGTCGTCGTTGATCTTCTGTCAGATACTCTAAAATGGTTCTGCAATGCCGATTCCGGAGCATTGGCACATGTAACTATACTTTTGATCGAAATTTTCTCTTCTCTTGGGCGACCAGGAATCCTGGATAACCGTACATATGCACCACGTCTTTACAAAGGTACGAGACAGGCGCTGAAAATCAGCGGTCGTTGAGCAACTTCGTCGGGCAAAGCAAAGTCAGTTCTGCGGATGATTCCGGTTAGTTCAAAGTGCAGACATGAGCTTAGAGAAAGAAGATCATCCGACGCTTGACGGTGAACTACGACCTTAAGAAGGCAACGGGAGCTGGTGGTCTTATTTAGGGATGAAGAAGCAGAATCCACTATATAACTACTATACTGCTCCAAACGATTCGACAAGGGAAGTACACATAGTGATGTGACCAAGGCAGACGACAACTTTGGGTTACATGACGGACAGGTCGTTCAGCAGAAAACAAGGCGATCAGAGAAAAGAAGTTTTACTCCACCTGCTATATAAACCTAACACTGTTCCATCAGTGTCGTTTAATCCGGTCCATTGAGAAATATCATTGGAGATCAAATCTGGATGTTACATGACAGCCACGCGAGTTGTAGAGTGAACTCGTGTCGTGAAAGATTGAGCGTACATTCACTTCTAGTTAGGTAATTCATAACCTCGTATGTCTGTTCAGCGAAGTCAACAAGACCACGGACAGCGATGCCCTTTAGCGACATTGCGAAACCTTCAAAACGGGGAGCGCGGGAAAACACGGTATAAAAGGGTCTGGTAATTCAGTTGCTCGTTGGATGTTTTGGATGATCTCCCATCCTGCTGTCCGTGATCGATCGTGGAATTTCGTAACGTTTTGCACGTTTTGTAATCACTGTACTCTGCCATACCACTGTTTTTTTATATTGCTGTGTTTTTCGTATGAATAAAGTTCTCCTTTGCTTCCTGAGAATCACGAAGGGTAAACCCATCTTTATCTAACGCCCTTGAAAGACTCGGAAGGAAAGAAAAGAAAAAGGGTAGACGGTTGAATTTGTTCTCTTTTCTCCGCCGTCTCATCAATTAGTTTTGATATGTTAGCGATCCCCTGGCATTGCCTCGAGTGGTCGCTAACGCACTGCTAGAAGGCGAGGACTTTTTAGCGATAGGAGTCTTGAGTTGTGTCTGGTTCCTTCGACTGGAATCGACAACGGTGCACCCATTGGCTGAGGTCAACGCTGCCCAATTTTTCTTAGCATCGGTGCAAGACTCTCGATCTTGAGGCACTTCGCACCACGCAACGTTGAACTTTCACGATGGCTCATGGTCAATGACTTCGTTACACAGAAGAAGGCCGAGCAAATTGACATAGCGTACTGAGAGACTGCCTGCGCCGGAGCGTTGGCATGCATTAGCCAGCAGAATGTGCCGTTAGGGCCGGTTGATGATGGGCATAATCTGGAGGAGCTGACGAAGCTGAAGCGTGAGCTAGCCATGACACAAGAGTTGGAATACCACTTAGGTTCGCGAGAAGAACTGAGCCGAAGAAAAACGCGGTATTTCCGACCCACCTAGATAAGATTGATTATGAGCGTATCCAGGCAATTCTCAGGGAGGACGTCGAGGAGGTCCGGCTGGACAACGACTATGACGTCGACAGCACAATGCACTTCCTGCTTGTCAGATTCGAGTTCGATGGCCAGAGCTTTCGTTATGTGTATGGAATACCTGGATTTGAATTAACACGATGCCGTTGTAGTCAGAAAAGGACATTCAGTGATCTCATAAGTCTGTTCACTTCTAGCGTCGGCCGAAAGCGCAGTGCCTGCTGGACGCGGCAAGGGTGATCACAGTCTCGTAGGACATAGAGTAGATCATGCACAACGCTTGGAGGATAGCGGATAGCGGTTATCTGTTCTGAATCCGAAGACTATGGCAGTTGCTTACTCGTTCTTCCGTAGCCGATGCTCGCATCTCGCCATTATGAGTGGTCTCGTGCCACCGGAGGCACGCTTCAATGACACCACGCTGTCAGGATGGCCCTGGGACACGAACCGCATCATACAGTATGATTGGCAGCTCTCGCGAACGATGGAGTGGTGGTCCGCTATGGTGTAGAAGGTCATGTCCACTAGTCTACCTTAGGATTGTCATATTGGTACCCGAGGTCTGAAGAACATTGAAAGGAACTTCTGCTTGAAAGGACACAGCACAGCGATGTTGACTATCGGATATTCCGTGAAATTCGGCGCAATAACAATGCAGGTAAGTGAATGGCCCTCGTTCGTGTGACGACGGCGCTGGAATATGTTGAATGAGAAGGCTATATTCTTGGCTACTTGGACGAACATGCCGACCTTGTAGAGCAGTGGCACGACAATTTGCCTGAAGATATGGGACTCTGGAAGGCCTCCACTGCCTACTTGCGCGTTATAGTGATCAAGACCATCGGAAGTGTTCGAAAGCAGATCAGGCACGGCATCCTATGGCCATTTAACCAGACAAGTGGAGCACCATGGACTTCTGGAGCCTCTGAAAATGCCGGGAACAATGAGGCACCTGGAAGACCGTGTCAGGAAGTCGAGCGGAGGACAGCCACTGAAAATGGAAGAATCTCGAAAAGGCATCTAAAGCGGTTGAACGGCAACAGGAGCGGAACTGACAAAGGCAAATCGTGAGAGGACTGGAGAACATGGTTCTAGAAAACAGGTCTGCATATAGAGTGAAGTCGTGCCGTGTGGGATTGAGCGTATATTCTTTCGTACTTATGTAATTCGTAACCTTGTCTGTCTGTTCAGGGAAGTCAACAAGACCGCAGACAACGCTGCCTTTTAGCGCCACTGCGAAACCTTAAAGACGGGAAGCGCTGGAAGACGGTATAAAAGGGGCTGGTAACGACATGTAAGACTTTAGTTGCTTGTTGGATGCTTAAGAATCTCTCCTCCTGCTGTCCGTGATTGATCGTGAAATTTCGTAACGTTTTGTAGCACGTTTTGTAATCGCTGTAGTCTGCTACACCACTGTTTTTCATATTGCTATTTTTTGTGAGTAAAGTTCTGCCTTTGCTTCCTGAGAATCACGAAGGCAAATCCATCTTTATCTCGTGCCCTTGAAAGATAGGGTACCCAGCTGAGTTCTCATCGGCGGAAGGCGACATCCATTGCACATGAATGTCAAAAGGAGTTACTGATGGCAACAAGAAGAATGCCTACTCGTTGTTTTGTTTGCAATGACTTTTTTGAACGCAGGTAGTAATATTTCCTCCACATAATAATCATCTGCGGAAACCGCGGGGCGATTCGTCGACTCACAGATCAATATGCCCAGGGCCGGATAAACTCGCGATCGCGCGAGTTACGCGCGCTGCCAAAACGGGCTATAAATAGCGGGAGGCAGTCCAGCTGCTCTCAGTTTGCACTTTCTTGCCTTCCTCCGCTTCTCTCCTTAAGATCCATTATTGATCTCTCTGCGAGTTAGCGATTGCGACTGTCGACATAAACTTCCGAGATCTCTTTTCTTAATGGTATTTATTCTCTGGAAGCGATTAGGCGAGATCCTTTAACGAACACTTCATTTGCAACATCTAATCTGTTATCTCTTTGCTGATTATTCGTTTGTTTTAATAATCTCGTCTCTGTGGCTGAGAGATACGGTTTCGTAGGGCTCACGGATGCGTGTCGAGGGTTTGGATCCTTGATGCGTGTGCTCTTTTGCATTTTTCGAAAGTGGTCCCTGTGCACTTCAAAGCTATTTTGCATAATACTTGTCCCTGATAATGTCGTTATGTAATGATTCTGAACTGATGGAGCCATTGCGAACCATTCCATAGAGATCACTTCTGGCTGTTGTCTTCTTCTTTCTTTGATTTGAAAAGCATACACAACAAAAGTGCATTCCAAAAGAAGATTTCGCCTTCAAATGACTTTATTCTCCAAACGACATGACTGGAAAACGAATCCGTACGCACGAAGTTGTGCACGAAGATGAGTATAGTGGGGAAAATGCTTCCATATGAAGTGGCGTTGATGTGACAAACATGCTGCTGAAGATCGCGATGGGCAAGAGCTTCATTTACCACTCACATAATGTTGAATTATGTCTATCTCAAAAGTGTTTTCGTATCTGCCTAGAGGTTTTCTTTTCGGCTCGTATGACAATCTCTTCAGCCGGAGGTGATCTCCATGAAATCGTTCGCAATGGCTCCATCAGTTCAGAAACACTACGTCACGACATTATCAGGCACCAGAGTTATACAAAATAGCTTTGAAGTGCACAGGGACCACTTTCGAAAAAATGCAAAAGAGCACACGCATCAAGGATCCAAACCCTCGACCACGCATCCGTGAGCCCTACGACGTATCCACTCGGCCATGCTGCCACGATCTCGTCAGCCTTACGCCGCCAATTTGTAGTGTATTCTCCCCCAAAAAAGCTCCGTAACTTCTTTCTGGGAGGTCCGCAGCAGATATGGAAGACGGTTTCGTAATTCCCGTCCGAAGACCTTTCAGCCGGTATACATTTCATTTCAAATGGCCACTTCGACCTACCATCCTTCCCTTGTAAGTGGCGAGACTGTCATATTGCTCGTATCAGATGTTTTCCACTGATTGTTTTCTTTTACCGGCTCCAACAACTGGTGGAGAACGGACTGGGGGCGCGCTTGGCCCAGCTTCACTGACACGCCCCATCATACGCAGGGAACCGACAGCCGACTATGACTGACGAACTGTTATTATTACCTATTTACTATTAACATCCTTGGGATCTCCATCATTAATACTGCACTTATTCACTTTTTCATGAATGCATCTTCAGGACAATCAGCCTTATCTGTTTTTGCATTGACTCGTTACGTACGCATCTTCAGATTCGGATTATAATTATGCTTATTGTTCCTTAGTTATTGGTATCACAATTGACTACTGGTAATTATTATTTGTTCATTTACCTCTGAATAAACTGAAGCATAGTTCGAAAAATGTTCTCGCAAATTATCGTTCAAAGGGGTTTGGACATTAGAAAAAACTTGATGCGAGGTAAACTCTTAACAGAAACTGCCCTCAGCAGCAACTTTTTCTACCCTTTGGTTACTGATCCTCGAGAATTAATTAGATGTAGACCTAGTGCCAATGACCTTTACGCTGCACTTCATTCCGGACATGTACGAGCTGTCACGAACAATGATGAATTCCATCCAAATCTGATTAGTAAGTCCTCAACTGAGTTCATCGCCAACCAATTTCCTCATGCTTTTTCCACCCTACAGGCCGGGTAAAGGCGATGGTATTTGAATGCAGCTTTGCAAAAAGATCATGTTCACGATAGTTCAATAGTTTTGGGTTAACTCCCTCATTATATCTTGAGGCAACAGAACTATTATATACTCCTTATCCCTGGGAAGGAGTAGGCGTGGCATTTGAACATGGCATAGGATGGGTCACT